AGTAGAAGCCGTTTTTCCGGTTAAGACTTAATCCTCTCCCTCTCCCCCCCGCGTTGGAATTTCGAAAAATCCTTACTTAGTGTGCGTTTCCATGACGTACCCTAACTGTGTACCAAATTTCACCTCTTTAGGTTAAGCGGTTTGCTCTGGGCGATGATGAATCAGTGAATGAATGAATGAATGAGTCAGTCAGTCAGGACAAGCAATTTTATATATTTAGATTGTTTTAAATCGCTTCAACAATTGACAAGAGTTTTTTATCTCCGAGTAAAATGCATTTTTTTGTAGAAGTAAATTTAAATTTAAATAGAATAAATTTAATGAAATGATACACATAATTTATTTTCCTGATAATATAATTGGTATTTCATAAAAAGTAAATTTTTCAGATGAACTCTGTAAAACGCATTCTGAAATACAGCAATTTGAAATCGGAAGCATCCTACGAAAGTTTGCCTAATAAACGGCCTCCCTCTGATTGGCCAGAAAGAGGAGAAATTCATTTCGATAATGTTTCTTTGCAATACTCCAAGGATAAAAATATTGTGTTAAAGAACTTAACATTTCATATTCGCTCTGGAGAAAAGGTAAAACATCTGAAAATTGGAAGAGTATTGTTTATAATTATTGCTTGAATTGGTGTTTATTATAAATTAATTCCAGATAGGAATCGTTGGGAGAACAGGAGCGGGAAAGAGTTCTATAATTGCTGCGTTATTTCGCATGACAGAGCCGACAGGAACGATAACCATCGATGGTGTTGACATTAAAGACATTGGACTTCGAGATCTTCGTAGTAAAATATCCATTATTCCTCAAGTAAGTAATAATTAATTCGATATGTATAATTCATATTTAATTACCTTTCTACTTTTTCCACGATAAAAATGTTTTTATTTCCTTTTCCGTACGAAAATTTAATTTGTTAATTATAATAAAACATATCAATATCGATGCAGTATGCTAAGCAAAAAGGTATAATGTAATTTGAAAAAACTCATTATTAAGTAATGTGAAATAACTTGTGAAATGTAATGTCTTATATTTCGATAAAGTCACATTTATAAACATTGAGGCACGATTATTTTTTTCTTAATAAATTAAAAACAGCAATTCGAACTATAAAAATTTTTGATGATCTAAGTTAAACGAACATATACGTTATAAAATATATTACAGACACGAAACGACTACTTTTTATGCTTTATAGAATTTTTCAAAAACATAGGTATGATTTAATGAATTGAATTTTAACTTTAATACAAATTCTGATTTTGAGACTAATAGTTTTACGTATTTAATTGATATCTTTATACGAATCTCAATAACTTCATATTTTTATTATGAATGAAAGATGTGTTACAATACAATACAATATAATATTGTGTATAATATAATATTATCTATAGACACGCTAGTACAATATGCGGTTCCATTCCTCAACACTGGAAGTTTGGTCGTGGGTTTGCGTCTCGCCCAGACGTGATGGTAAAAAGACCCCGATAAACGGCCGGTTTTATCCATGTCTGTAGCGCCTGAATAGGTGCCAAAGACTTCTTAAAAGGCATTATTCCTCGCATAACGAGTATCATAAACGCATAGAACTACTAATACGTAACAATTTCATCGCACTCTCTCACGGGGTTATCTATCGCCCTCTATTACTCTATCAATCTATACAGTTACTACAGAGTATGCATATATTTTTTCAGGATCCTATGTTATTTACCGGGCCACTTCGAAGAAACATGGATCCTTTCAATGAATATTCTGAAGAAATGCTGTGGAAAGCCATAGAGGAGGTTACAATTAAATTAATATTTTTCGATTTACTTCCAGATTTTTCTCTTTAAACTTTTTTCTGATTAAATTCAATTTACACGTATTTATTTTTTTATAAATATTTGAATTAAAGGTACAACTGAAAGAAGTTATTAGTAAATTACCTGGAGGATTGGATTCGCATTTAACAGAAGGAGGGCGAAATTTCAGCGTGGGGGAAAGACAGTTAATTTGTCTTGCCAGAACCATTCTTCGCCAGAATAAAATTCTTGTCATGGACGAAGCAACGTCCAATATTGATAAAAGGTTAGAATATTATAAATATTACATAATTTCAAGCATAAATCATTTTATTTTCTATTGATAATTCATGTTACATAGATAATATTTATCGGTATAAGTTTGGTGTAAGTAAGATTGTGTGATATTCACCCTGATTATAGTACATTGCATTAAGCCACTAATAAAATGATTGATTTGCATAATGATTAAACTTACAATCAATCGCTCTGGAAATCTGGAATTAAATTTTAATGAATTATCTCAAATATAGGCCTATTAAGTGCGAGATGTTTAAAGTATATTTTATCTCGTTTCTCATCTTTCGTTTTTTTTTATATTTTGTGTTTGTCATAATGAGGGTGAGTAAGGGAGAAAAGAGTTTTTTGTCTACAAGCCAAACTGTATGTATTCAATATATGTATTCATATTATGCCATGAATACGAATACATATATTCATAATACTGTATTCATATTGTGCTGTGTATATATAAAAATTGTAATAGGAAAAGTCTTGCATTGTCAACATGGCAAACTACATGGTGTATGTAAACATTTTGGCTTCCTCTACTTAATAAATTTATTTTATATTTGTGAGAACCGACGGGGTATAGTGCCGAGCTTCTCCCCACTTATAAGCTTCTTTGTCAGGGATATTCGATGTGTTAAGGAATAAGATGGTGAGCGAGATCGTAACAAGGTGTCGGTCGTACTCAAGGATGACACATAATCTATATCTATATATAAAAATGAACATGTATGTTTTTATATTTCACCTTTCCGCCAAAACTACACATCGCACGTGAATGGTTTTTGTATGTGGTAGTAGCCCCAAGTCTCCATTCGTGCATAGGGGTGGTTGCGTCTCGATAGCTATAAGGGTGCGGGAGATATGAGGCTGAAAGTGGTTGAAAGTGGCTTTCTATTTCGAATGTTTTGTTCGAATTTGTTCGAATTAAATTCGAACATAAAATTCGAATATTGGTTCGATTATAGAACGATTGTAAACGTTCCAGAAACTTTGAAAATAGTTCGTTTGACTAAACGTAAAAATTCTCTAATTAGCCTGGAAACGGGGGACCTAATTCTTGCATTATGTGAAAACGGGTAAGATTAGCTATAATGTAATCTTCACTATCGATACTTTTTGCCCAGCGAAGCGGGTCCTTGCAACTAGATTCTAGATTACTTAGAAAAACAGTCTATTATATATTAAAAAAACTATATTACATACAAATAAAAACCCAGCGAAGCGGGTCCTTGCAGCTAGTTATATATATAAGAATAACATATTTAATTATGTAAAGCTATACAAACGAGCACAAGTCAAAAGACTACAAAAAGGGAATAATTCGAAAATACTTCTAAGTCGTCTAATTATCTAACTCTATAAGACATAATATTGTCTAAGTTCAAGCTATGATCGAGAGGGAGACAAGGAACGGGAGAGAGAGGATCGAATTTTCTCTATGTGATTACTTCTCTGGTTTTGGTACTTTGAAACCGTGCTAGTAGTTATTAGTAGTAATTCAAACACGAATTATTATTGTATTTATTTTCAGGCACTTGGCAATTTTTATCATCAAATTTTATTTAGTTGATATTATTTACACACGTTTCAAGCATTTATTGCCCCTCTTCAGCCAACTAAAAACAAAAATTCATAAGTTACAACCCTATAAAATTACAAACAACAAACATATTAGGTATTGTTTTTTAAAAGCATACGTTTTTATTCTACAGGTTATTGAGATATTAAAACCACAAATTTCAATCTCCTATGTTTACTTGTTATTATGGAATTACCACCACTTGTTTGACCCTTAACACTCTTTATTCTAAGAAACATACGGTTTTCGTATTATATAAAATATTTAAAAAACCTTTTTATATAAATTTTCACTTATACATTTACATGATAACAGTACAATAAAGTACGTACCTAATTATCTGTTTTTTACTGTTATAAAATTTAAACAATTATAACAATAACAATTATTGGTTGTTTATTGTCAAAATCAACATATTATAGTACAAATGTTCTTCAGGCATCGCGTTGTACGTTATAAAAATCAATATTAATTCATACTTACAGATAACAATATCCCTTTTAGGGAAGCCGTTCAGTGAGTGTTCACCGTAACATCCAATATCATGCTACAGTTTGAGTGAGCTGCATTTAAGAATAAGTTGTTTTCTGCTGTCCGTATTGACTAGTTATAAGTTGTTAGAGTTTCCAAATAAAGATTAAAATACTTAGAGATTAAAATATTTTTTTATTTTGTTACCTGATAATTTTTTTCACTTTCTGAAATGCAATGATTTGCCTTTCCTAAAATCAATCAGAAGAGTTTGTCTCAGGATTGTTTGTTTGCTGTCCCAAGTTGAACGTTAAATATGAAACTGAATACTCAACCTATCTCAAACGAAATTGTCTGAAGTAAGTTCGCTAAGTATAGTTTGTTTGTATTAGGCTAATGTGGCTTTAAGCTTTTGTCTAGTATGAAAATGACTTATCAGTAACATACAAGGTATATCATTTATTACTATATTATGGTTAACAACACTAATCTTAACTCCTACAAGTGTATTTATTATAAGATAATTGCTGCTTTACTGCAATTAGTAACTTACTTAAAATGAAAATAAACTTGACTTTATACTTTTGACAAGAAATCTGTTCTGATATTGGATTTACTGACATTCACTACCATAGAGGTGATTGAACCCTATCCATCGGATATAGATGCAGGATGATTTTCTTAACTATATATGTCCAATTTGGTGTGAATTTTCATGGGTTCAGCTTTGTCTTCTTCGTCTTGAGATGGAAAACATTTAATGCAGGATACTACAAAATCAACCTTATCAATTAATTGACTAATGAAATATTGACTAGATTGGCTTTTTTCAAATACATGTATTTTCTGATCATGGCTTAAAGTTGCACCTTTCCACTTGATGCTATTTTTTCGATAGTTTTCCAGCTCAGAAAAAAATCACAATCTCTGACAAAATATGACGTTTCTTCCAAAGGTTTTACAATATCAGCAGTCTGTTTTAATTTTCCTATCCTTGAATTTCCTCACATGTTGATGTGGTTTAGTAATGTATTTTTTCACTTACTCCTTTCTGGTTTTCGCTATTATAACTTGAACTGTTTGTGATACATTTCAATATGGGAAAACCGTTTTATTTATTTTTTTATTATTTATTTTTATTTATTTTATGTGAAAGAACCGATTCCTGTCTGCAGAAAATAATTCGAGAAAAATTCGAATCTTGTACGGTGTTGACAATAGCCCACAGATTACATACAATTATCGATTCGGATAGAGTTCTGGTAAAATTCTTTTTTTTAATAATATAAAAATAAATACCTGTTAGTAATTATAAATTTAAAATTTCTAGGTATTAGATACAGGGAGAATACAAGACTTTGACTCGCCGTATGCATTACTGAAGAACGTAAATGGTATATTTTATAATTTGGTAAAGAAGACGGGAGTAACTTCAATGAATGAGTTATACGAAATTGCCAAAGTTAAATATTACGATAAAGAGAAGGTAGAGCAAACAAAACTATAAAACAGTGAATTTTATTCTATGTATAGACTACGAGGATCTGGTATTATGAATTTTTCGTTCAAATTAGTTCTTAGAGTTTCACACATCACATAACATAAAATTGTAAAAATCTAAACATTTGTTAGTATATGCAAATTTTACGGTTTAATTTATACATGCTGATGTTTTATTGAGATGCCATCAGCAGTTTTTTAAAATAATATAGTGAGAAATGTTTACAATGGTTTAATTTCAGAAAAGAAGTAAATTTTAATATATAAAACAACAGAAAAAGATTTAATTCAAATAATTAAAACAAAAACTTTGTGTACTTCTTTAATCAGAACAATCTTAGTCAAGAATATAATTCCAATTGTATGTATTCTTGAAAAACTTGGTTTACCGTAATAATTAAAGAAAAATTACATTATTCAAAATGCTTTAGCATTTGTTTTATTTCTTTTCGTGTTTCTAATATTAAATCGGTGTGTAATTGAAAACTGGTATAAAATTTATTGTATTCTGTTGTGTTTAATAGGAAAAACAGAAAATTTTCAAAATTGCGATAACGTTAGTCATAGTGATTCGATACACTTTAAGAATATTGTACTTTATAAGCCTACATAAGTAATTTTACATTATATAAAAACACATTATTAATTTTATTTTTTAAATTTATTAATTTTTCTATCATATCACCAAGAACATTACAAATGTCATAAAGTATATTGACTAATAAACTATGTAAATTATCCGAAATATATTTATAATCTAGTTTTTGATATTTTAAAATTTAACACGAAGAAGGGTGGTTTATGAAATCATGAATAAACTCTTCGTTCAGTATATAATAAGTGAAAACTAAATCTTAATGTAGATAATAATTTAGCTTATGTAGAGTGTCATTTTTAATCGTTCTTATTTCAAAACTGTACTCATGTCTAATTTTTCGTATATGCGTTTTGACGAATTTATCTAAAAATATTTAAAATTATACTATTTTATTACAATCGAGATATTTCGAAAAATACTAATGAATTTTTTATCTAATACTTGATGTTATGAAATTAAAACCCCTTTTCCCTGTTCAATATGTTTTTTGATAAATGGACTAGAAGTACATAATTTTTTCATATTAATTCCCAGTTTAAATTACTTGAAAATTCAGAAATTAACTCAGAGGTTAAGTCAGTTCTTTCACTTATAACATCCCACTTAACACAGTTTTTAAACCATGAAATACTATTTTTGTCTATTGGTAAACTTGATATTTTTACGCAATCAACCAATAAAATTTGTTTTTATTCTGTAAGAAAAATTTCCAAATTTTTCTTACAGAATAAGAAAAATTTCCAAATTTTTCTTACAGATATGTTTTTTTTTTTTTATTTTTTATAGTCATAGCACACATTTCAATAGACGTTACAACATTTCTTCCTAAAATACGAGGTACAATAATGTTGATTTATTTTTCAGTACTATTTTTAAGAAAATAGTAATTTATTGTTCCGTGTTTCCCCGAAAATAAGACAGTGTCTTATATTAATTTTTGCTATGAAAAGTGCGCTAGGTCTTATTTTCAGGGAATGTCTTATTTTTTCCAGGAAGAAAAATTCACATTTATTATTGAACAAAAAAATTCCCAAATCGAACTTAGACGAGAGTGACGTATATCCGGTGTGTCGAACTGTCGCCTTTTTATAGCGTCAACATCGGACTCGATGACCAATTAGTGCTTACTAAACCGTAGCACTATGCAAATGTCATGTGGCGTGATTCCCGGCCGACCAATTAGCCATCACCAGCCGTAACGTTATGCAAATCTGTGATTCCCAAGCCATAGTCTTATGCAAATCATGCCGTGTGGCGTAATTGTCTGCTGACCAATCAGTGGCTGTACTTTCAAAAAGCCAACGGCCACTTTCAACCATCTGTCGATGACCGTTACGACTAAAAAAAACTTCGCTAGGTCTTACTTTCAGGGGGAGGTCTTATATTTCACAATTCAGCAAAATCTGTGCTAGGTCTTACTTTCTGCGGATGTCTTATTTTCAGGGAAACACGGTAATTAGTACAATTACATTTGAAGAAATGTTTATAAAATATAAAATACATTAAAATTTCCACAAAATAAAAGATATGAATGTATTTTTTTCTTTTTTTTGTAGTAAGTAATAAGATAACAATCTCATTGTGCACTAAAAATTTCTGAAATTCCTGCAGACAATTTAATTGGATATGTACTTATGTATTCACTCTTCGAAAATTTTTCTTTTTTTAAATCCTAATAAATCTTTTAATTTAGTTCCGAATGAGTTTTTTTTTTCGTTTCCGAAAAATGTTTAATTTTTCTTTTAAATTGTCCCAAAATTCGTGCTGTCGATAAAACCAACAGCAAATAATACAACTTCTCTATCTTACATTAGATACGAAATTATGTCTACTATGTGACTTTCAAAAACATGTTTACCATTGATTGTTAATTTGCCTTTACAATTTTATCTGAAATGACTTCGATGCATGTTATCAATTAAATGTTGAATATAATTAAGATACGAATAAAATTATATTTATAATAAATCTGTCATCGACAGTTTTCTTTTCAGGTTGAGATTCTCTTTCTTCAATTTTGTCAGATACAACAGATACTCTAACAGGATTTAGGAGCGTGAATGGTGCTCTCATATCTTTAAATTAATAAACTTAATAAGTTTACCATCAATGAGTAAATTAGTACTCTCGAGTAATTCTTCGATATTACAACCAATTCGTATTTTTGGCTTTTAATAAATCATAAATATTTCGGAAGGAACTAAACCCATCTGCTTCGCCATTAGATTCTTTTTCTTATTGTTTTACCAAACTACTTTCCATAGGCAATTTCACATTCAACAGAAGGGTAAAACACTATACTGGATTGATTTACCGAAAATCTTTGTTTAGTATTTAAAGAAATATGTTTCCCACTCAATTTCCTAATTAAATTTTAAAATTTACTTAATTTGCACACGTTAGGTGATGTTTCCTCTTAACAAAATTATCAAATATTTCACGTAAAACTTTAATTTAATTAGGAGGAGCTTCTTTCAGTATTGCTCTGCTCTGTAACATTGTACTCTTTTTCGAATTCCACAGCTTATGTATGGGACTGCTCACACCAGTTAGCGGTCGCGTACATAACAGGCCAAAAGGTCACAACGTTTTCAGTCATAACGCGGTATCGCCAACGCAGTGCCGACTCTTCGGTCACACAAGTTATCATAAGAACGCCATTCATTTCAGTGTATCAACTAGTTTTAAAACTAAAAAATTTATTTTTAATAGCAATTCTACTAATTCTATAATCTAACCCAAACATTTTTTACTTTTTAATGCAATAATTATCATATCGGTTTTGGTACTTCCAAAGAATATTGTAATGTTAGCGCAGTCAGAGTATACTTTTTTTTATCTAATTGAAAAAGGATAGTAAGGCCAAAATGCATTTCGTTTAGATTAATTAAAAACACTGGAAGCTTGTTGATCAGTCCTAAAAAACTATATTTCTATAATGAATTAATACAAACAAGGCTAATTTTATTATATTATATATTGTTGTTATTAACAATTATAAACGACTTGCCAAGTTTTTTCCAGAGATTCTCGTATTAGTTAGCAATGAGTTCGAAAGAATACTCACGATCTTTATTGCTTTGTCATTGCTCTCCATAACGAAAGTGAATTCAAACGAATACATTGAAAATAAGCTAGTATATTTTTTAAAGAAATACCACCCTGACAAATAATAGATGTTATGGCCAAATATGACTGTTGACCATCGTAATTACAAGACGGTTGGCATGCTGTAAAATTCAATATAACAGGAACAGGTAGAATAAAATAAAAGAGATCGAAAAAGAGAAAAAATGGCGAAAAGCACGAGAATCCAACTAAAGTAACAAGGTTCAGAAGAAAAAGACAATCATTTAGAAAATGAAGAAAATTTTAAAATTTCACAAATACAAGCATAGTTTGTTGTGAAAGAATGTGAAATGACCCTCCAGAAAAGTAAGTCAGGACCAAAATACACGAAAAAGCAACTTGCTTCTCAAAATAAATTCTTCTGCTGAAAATATGTGATGTAATTTGGGAGAGAAAAACGTTTTTGTGATTATAGACAAAGGGACTTTTCTTTGACAAAGGTGAAGATGACAATGAAAATTATTTTATGAAAGAAAACAGTAGATGTGTGACTTGAAATGTAGTTTAAACGACTGACCACGTTTCTGCAGAAGCGTTTTTTTTAGACGGAAATTTAGAGGCATTCATTACGTTATCGTCGATCTCTATCAAAAACAAGTATGTGAAAAACAATGCATTTAGAAGAGAATAATAAATTTTGTAAAAAGTACTACTGAGATATAGTATGTCCTCTGCCGAAATATGTCTATCAAACATCAAACACATTGCTGAATACACAAATGCAAAGTTGGACAATACAGAATTGATGCAAAAACCATAAAATATTAAGAAGCCACCAATAAGCCAAAAGTTCAAGATTCAAAACAAGTTAGCAAGTGTAAATCTGACCAATTATCAAAGTAAATGCTCACAAATACAGTTCAAAGTACAGCCGATTACAACATTAATCTTCTCATTTTTATGTTATACAAACACATACATACATAATGTACATGATACATACATAATAAATTCGTATTGTATATACGCTTCGCAACGCCATGCCTAACTCAAGCTGATAACAAAGTACTAACATATTTACAATATTTATAATAATGTAAAAAACTGATTTGCATATGTCATCTACCTTACCAATACGATGTGGTAGTTAACAAAGGGAGTACAGCTTGTAATTAAAGTCTAGAGAATACATTAAGAAGGGACTTCAATTGCTTGCAGTGACTGTCAAAAGCTCGGAGTATCACTTTACCAAATTTTTGAAGAGCTAGAAAAAGTCTTTATCTTAAAAACAAACTGGGTCACAAGGCCAGTGTTGCTAGTTTCGTAGATTAGGAGCAGGAGTTAATGTCGTTTATTTCTAAGCATAATACATTTGTGGATATAATTTAATACCTGTCTTTCTGTCCACATGTTTTTCAAAGCTTGTCAGTAAATCTGAAGCAATACGAACTAAATTTCCCACAGAAATTGTATAAGCCAGTGTTTTTCAATCTTCTTGAATACGCGACCCCTTTACAAGTTAAAAAATTCTGGCGACCTCCCTAGGGCCATATTAAAACTATATCAGCTATATCAGTGATTTTAAAAACTATGTATTTAA